GGAGTTGAGACCAAAGAAGTCGGAGGATGACTCGTCCTCGTCGTGGATACACTGCATGTAAGCCCAGGTATCATGCAAGATCTCGCGGACATCTGCGGCAGAATATCCGACTGGGATGGTGCGGTCGGCATGGTTCTTGATGTAGTTCTTCATGTCACGTTGAACAGCCTGTGTTTTTGTCAGCTCATCCTATCTTGAATCATTGGCTAAGATGATCGAACGTACCCGGATGTACTGGGGATTGAACTCAGCAGTGCTCAGATCGTTCATGACCTCGTTCGCAGAGAAGAAAGCCATGGTGTTGGGGAAACCTTTGAAATTCTCAATGATACCGAACGCGCGAGTAAGGTAGTCGCTGTTGTAGGATGTCCATGGTTCCGCGCGGTTGATGCTCTCTCCGGGTAAGGGCGAGTTGACATCAAGGATCATGTAGATGCCGGCCGCGTTGAAGATGGAGGCACACTTGGAGTGGTCAAGCGTGGGGTCGAGATTGTAGACACGAATCGTGTTTACACCCAGCTTTTGCATGAGGGTTGCATCTCGCAGACATTTGTCGCCATCTGTGAGGGGATCTTCGCTGTTTGTGGGATTGTATGCTCCCTGACCTCCGGGTTGGTAGTCGACACCAATGATCATCACCCGCTTGTCCGTGCCGGTGTTAATGAAGTCCTGGCCACGGATTTCGACTGGCTGGACGGCATAGGCGATGGATGAGAAGAGCGCGGGGAGCAGCGCGGCTACGCGACTGAACTAAGAGGAACGTTAGCGCGGCTCACGATGCAAGGAACATGGGTTGGATGCTGTAGACATGGAACGTACAGAAGGCATGGTAGCGAAGGACAATTTCACAACAACGGCCGTAGAGCGAAAGACGTAGAGATCCTTGGGCGGTTGCAGCGACGACTGTCTCGCCTTATAATCCTTCAGATTGCCGCTTAGGTTGGTATCGCAATGTTATGCACCAAGACTAGTTGCAGTGGATCTTGGCCACGGAGGAGCAGCTAAGACGGAATTGCTTGCCGGCTACTGTGCTGTGATTCGAGCGAGAAAAACGAACGGCGTGCATATGTCGCCCGCTGGGAATGATAAAAACCAAAAGTGACAAAATTGGCTGGGGAAAGAGGATGAGAGAGACAGTGGCACAGCGAACATATGTGTCTGCTCCTCGGCAGCCGCAAGCAGGCAGTGGCTCCCCAAGACAGCGCTTTGGGAAGCTGTGCTTACTGCCTCATCCCATCTCGGCAAGGATGACTTCTAGATAGCAGGAGCGGGATGACCTCTGGACCCACGCCGCTGCCATTGCCAATGCGACCCGCCCGGAAAGCTCTGAAAGTGTCGACTCTAGCGTACTCCGGGTGGGCCGTGAACTCGTCCTGGCTTTACCGACACGCTTGTTCTTTGCCGTTCCAAGCTTATTCCCAAAGTATCAGGAATATGTCCAATCTGTGAGCCGTGTCGGAGGCTGGAGGTGTAGGATCGTGACGCCATTGTCAAAACAAGTGGCAAGGATTGCTGCACCCCAGCCACTTCCTGCAATTGCGCACCAATCATCGCGGTCAAAGCTCCGACATGCACCTTGGCAATGTTTACTGCACATGCGGGAGATATGGCGCGCCTGAGACTTGAGGACATGGCTCTGCTGTCAGATCGCTGCTAGGCTAGATTGTTTGTGGTTGAGGTCAATGTATCATCACGTCCGTCTTCACTGATAGCGCCAGCTCGACTGCGGAAACAGGCGGACAAGATCGTATTCTATACATGTCGTCGGCTAAGGTAGTTTCTGCACTTGGGCTCAACGTCTACTCCAGGTGGATACAAGTGGGCCCTCTTAGCCGCGAAGTTTAGGCCTCGAGGTCCACACGCATGAGCTTGTCCTGCTCAGGCGGTTTTGAACGCCGAAGCTATGCATTTTGAGAACGCCATACGAACAAGGCCACAATTTGTAGATCGTTCCGACGCTTACCCACCAGGCGAGGGTCGACGTTATCGGCAACGATCTTGCGTCGGCGGTTGAGGCGCCAGCCTGAAGTTTGGCTACCCGGTGTGTGCAAAGCTGCGAACTGAAAACAGTGTAACAAGCTTTATGGCACTCTGCCTCATCCTGTCATGTCCACGTCTTGTGCCTTCCTTTTCATACCGCTCTCGCTCGCCTCGATCTGACCCCGAAACTTGGCTTGTAGCGCTTCGAGCAGGACCTCTTTGACCACTGCGAGACTGCCGACAGCGGCATGCGTGGCTCCCTCGATCAAAGCATCTGGATCTGAGCCGACGTCCCCCTTCATCCATATCTGTGTGATCTCGTCTCTTGAAGCCAGGTATCCGACTACACAGGCAGCAACAACCTCTTTGTGTTCTGCTGGACAGGGATCAAGTATCCTAGCCAGCTCCTGCTCTTGTCTTGACTCGGGGTTTCGCGTGATTGCGGCGACACCTCCACATACCACATCGACGCAGTCTATCCCGGCGTCCGTTATGGCAGCGCTGACGACCGTGATGCAGCCTGCTAGCACGTTCAAAAGACCCCATCCACTCCCGGCCGCGCTGCCCCCGCTAGCAGAGTCTCCCCACCAGCCATCCTCATCTCCTTCCAGTATTGTGACTACAACTTCGACCCCACTCTTGGGCCATCTCTCTCCGATGATGACACCTCGTAGCGCAGTCTCTAGATGAACTCCCAGGTCGCGCTCTGCCGAATCGCGTATGTAGCCTCGCCGTTGTCGTGTTGCGAACGGCGCAAACTTAACCGTGGTTGTAAGGAGGAGCGAAGGACTGAAGGGCGCGCTACGGGGAAGAGGCTTGGGGCCTTGTATAGAAGCCGTGATCTTGAGAGATGAAGTCGGTGGAATGAGAATCGACTTGATCGCGGGGGAGGAGGAGGGTATTTCGAGGTACGCGGAACCTGAAGCTGAGGGTATGATGGATGTTTGGAGGACTGTGGACGTGTTAGAAGCAGAACATGTGTAAGGTACGCATTGCAGACAACATGCAGCTCGCTGACAGCTACTGGAACCCACATCGATCCAGGTGAGCTCCACATCCGCGCGTAGGAAGACGCATGGGGTCATTCGGGCACTTACAGATCCTGCGAAGCTCATTCGCGCCTCTTGACCTTGTCGGCCTCAACTTTTCCAGGTACTGCGGTTCTCTGATTGTACGCGCAAACACTGGCGCACTGGTACCACCGCTGGGCGCATTGTTTCTTCTCCTGTCCGTGTTCATCGTGTCTGTGATTGTGTTGTGCTGTGCTGCAGCGCTGCTGTACTTGCAGATGATTTCATGGTGTTCAGAAAAGTGGATGACTAAGCGCAGATCTGCCAAGATTTCGGGACCCTCAAGTTCAATTTTCTTGCGCGTCCGGTTCAACTTTCTTTCCTTACCTCACATCCGCGCTCACGGTACGTTCACGCACACCCCTCTGTCCTCCCCCATTTCATGAATGATACCTTGAAATAGTTCTTGCGATCTTAGATGAGCTTTGAACATGCACCACCCTCTGATTCCAAATTTGGAGCTTCCGCTTTCGCATAAGACTTTGCGACTCTAGCTAACTCAGCTCAGATACAGGCCAGCGTTGTACCAGAGCGCGCGACGACGCGACTCGCAAGCATGCAGTCATGGCTTCACGGCTGCGACACAAGTCTATATTCTTGGGCATCCAATTGATGCGCCAGCACGTCTGCTGCTAACCTACAGCACTCCCCAGTACATACTGATTAGTGGTAAGTCTTCATCATTCCTTCTCACTTCGCTTTATATGATGATCGTATTATTTCAGTTCTGCTACTGAATCTCTTTGAAGAAAATTTATACCGCTTACCTTTGTCTGATATCACTTTACACTTCCAGCCCATTACTTCACAAATTGAAGGATCTCGCTGACATTGTAACCAGACACGCATTCTAGATCTTACCACCACAAGCCTACTGTCCACGGTAAGCACCCCGATCCCTCTCCCGTTCCGTTCAAGGAGGAAAACTAGTCTATCCATTCAACGACATCTGTCGCCGGGTCACCCTCCCGCACCCTACCAGTCTCGGCTGGGATGACGGGTTGTGGAGTTGCAGTGTTGGTTCGTCCAACGCCGCGTTATTGTGGTCTTTGAGCCAAAAGTCGCGGCAATCCGTCTTGGGCTGCCGCGACCCGAGGCCAGGCGATGGGGGATGATTTAACACGGCTTTCTGAGCACACAACACACATCGATACTATTACGAGATCGCTGTTCGAGCATCGCTAACGACGCTCAGATAGTTGCAAGGAACCATGGAATGATACAGTGGAAGCCGCGATCGTGGGCTATAGTAGATACTCGTACCTCGAATGCATTCATTCAACTCATAATTGTTTTGGTTCCTGTTTCTTGATATTTGCTCGTGATTCTTCGTACAAGTGATGAGTTGTGGTTGTGACAATGTGCTGCTTCCCTTTCACCACTGCATGACCCCTGTGAGACATAGGACGCAATGTCGAGAATACGAGGGTCTAAACTCACCCTCGCTCGTGTACCGTTACTATTCGCTGCTTGGACGTGGACAGCCACTCCTGCACATCATTGCTCTACAAGTCTGAAACGGCCATGCTAGGTGGCTTGGCTTAGCCTCCCACCTCGGGGATCTGACAAAGTGGCAGCACTCGAACGACCACCACCGTGCATCTCGTCAGCCCTGCGCGTCGAGTCGATTGATTCGGCAACATCCGCTGAGACGCGCGCGAGTTATCAGCAACCTGTCTGGACGTCACCGTGGCCTTAGCGAACAAAGCCTTGGCCCTACAACGGAGGTTATCAAAGACGCGCAACACCCCAAGCGCACGACAACACCAATCTGAAGACGGCTATCGAAGTGTGCAACCTCGCGAATACACTGAGCAGCGGCAATTCCCCTGGTGGAGATCAACAAGGAGTGCAAGGTGGTGCTTCGATCAGCAACTTGGTGATCTGGCGGGTCTTCGGTGACCGGGGTTCTCCAAGGGAGCATTCGACATCTGGCGCCCATCTCTCTGGATGTTGCCATTACATTCCTCTACGAAAGGGAAGATGCACCGCCATGCCTTTTCCAACGGGGCATATCCCTCACAAGGAGGAGGCACCTTTTCAATCCAACCTCACAAGTACGTCCAACACCCGCCGGCACCCTGCGCCGCGCCTCCTTTACGCTCAAACCCCAAATGAACATGGTCCTAACACTCGGTGCACCTTCAGATTCCAGCCGCGGTCACAGCCTGCGCTCCGGCGGCGGAGAACACTGATCCAGCGCTTGCTGATCGTAGGCTCGCTGTTCTTTACCGCCCTATTCTTCTTCTTCCCCGACTTGCGACCGAACTTGGGCTCCGGGCCCCTCAGCTTACTCACCACGAGCGATGACGCGCAACTCGAGACGGTGCGATACTACGACCTGAACAATGTCCAGGGCACGGCAAGGGGATGGGAGAGGGAAGAGCGCATCCTGCTATGCGCTCCGTTGCGAGACGCGGCTCCGCATTTGCCCATGTTCTTTGGCCATCTGAAGAACCTCACCTACCCGCACAACCTTATCGACCTGGCTTTCCTCGTCGGAGATTCCAAGGATAACACCATTTCACTCTTGACGGAGAAGTTGGAGGAGCTACAGGCCAATCCTGATCCCAAGCAGCAATTTGGCGAGATCTCCATCATGGAGAAGGATTTCGGGCAAAAGGTCAACCAAGACGTTGAGAGTCGTCACGGTTTCGCGGCACAGGCTGGGCGCCGAAAGTCAATGGCGCAAGCGCGAAACTGGCTGCTAAGCGCTGCTCTGCGACCAACGCACAGCTGGGTCTACTGGAGAGATGTCGATGTGGAGACTGCTCCCTTCACAATCTTGGAAGATCTGATGCGACACAACAAGGACGTCATTGTACCGAGTATGTACGGCCACGCATAGTACAAGTTTGCATGCTAACATCCTACGTAGACGTCTGGCGACCGCTTCCGGACTGGCTCGGCGGAGAACAACCATACGATCTGAACTCCTGGCAAGAATCCGAGACCGCTCTCGCTCTCGCCGACACCCTCGACGAGGATGCAGTCATTGTAGAGGGATACGCAGAGTACGCTACTTGGCGCCCGCATTTGGCCTATCTTCGCGACCCCTATGGCGACCCGGACATGGAAATGGAGATCGATGGTGTTGGTGGTGTCAGTATTCTTGCGAAAGCCAAGGTCTTCCGTTCTGGTGTCCACTTCCCTGCGTTCAGTTTCGAGAAGCACGCTGAGACAGAGGGATTTGGCAAGGTGAGCTATGTCATTACACCTCTCACAACAGAGCTAACACATAGCAGATGGCAAAGCGCATGAAATTCTCCGTCGTCGGCCTTCCCCACTACACAATCTGGCATCTTTACGAACCCAGTGTTGACGATATCCGACACATGGAAGAGATGGAGAAGGAACGCAAGGCAAAGGAGGCCGAAGAAGAGGCCAAGAAGGCAAAGGAGAATAAGATCAAGGAGAACTTTGACGAGAAGAAAAGCGACTGGGAGAAGGAGAAGGCGGCGGTTCAAGACATGGTTCAGCAGGCAAAGAACGAGGAGAAGGCGGCAGCCGAGAAGGCCAGGCAACAAGAAGCAGCAGCGAAACAGGAGTCGAACCAGGCAGACACCAAAGAGGACAAGCCAGTCGAAAAGAAGGAGGGCGAGCAATCGTAGTCGTTACAGCGCCCGCATAATCTCAAGGGTACAGGACCTCGGTCAGCATCCATGTTCGCAATATTGGACCATAGTGGGTCGAACCACCGCAGCAACGACAGTAACGATTTAGGCAGATTGGGCGCAGATCTGACGTTGTTTTCTTTCGATATACTGCATGCTTTGATTGTAGCCTACAGATTTTCAAGGCAGCAACATTTGGCGGAATCGGCCTTGGATGGTGGCATTTCCTCTCGGAGGGTGTTTGGAGACGAGGCGGAGGAATGTATACATTAGACAGCAGCTTTTGCATCACGGGCGTTGTAGGTTCAGCAGTAGATGAGCACTACGTTTGTTTGTAACAATATCAAGAAACATTATGAAATGCAAGCGGGAAAGATTAGCGCAACTCGCCATGCTTCTGTGTTTCGTCATGGCTGGCATCTGACGCTGGTCGGACCCCTGGCCTCAGCACCTCCGAAACTCCGCTAGAGCTAAGCCGCCAAATGTTCGGACGGTGCAACTCGACGCCTGGAATCGATTGCCTACGACTTGAGGACAGATTGTCGAGGGCAAAGATTAATCCACGCCCCAAGTACCTCAATATTTAGATTATCACCAGGCAGCAGCAATTGGGAGGATGCGTGTCATCTTTCAAGTCGACTGAACCAGACATACAGCTGTCCATGAGCCCTCCACCATAAAGACACGACGCCGCGCACCACACTTTTGTCGCATACACACGTACACCACAACCTTCCCGCGCCATGTCGAGCACCGACGGCGACGATCATGTCGCGTCGACACTCCAGGAAACAATCGTCGACCTGGACCCCCGACCTATCACCGTCGCAGTCAACCCAGTAGCTCTGGTGGTGACAGAATGCATTACCGTTACGTCGGCGATGCGAAAGCATGCCCGCTGGGCACACTCCTCTGTCGCGGCCATACTGGGCAGCTCTTCGAACAAGACACCGGCTGTGCAACGACGCGACCGCACGGGACAGGGCATCATCAGCGCGGGAGAGCAAGAGGAGGCTGTACCGAGCAGATGGGGCCTGCGGGGGAAGAAGGGCAAGAGCATGCAGGACAACCCCCTCATGTCTGCCTTTGCGCGCCTGAGGAACGACCTGAAGGGCTGTAAAGGTGAACGCTACAGTCGGGACGATACATGGGCAATGCTAACGCTGCACCAGACATCCGGACCTTCGATACCCCCTCCATGCTCCACCCCTTCCTACAAGTCATCCGCTCCTCCTCCACCTCCGCGCCCATCACCTCGCTCGCCCTCATCGCTATAACCAAATTCCTGTCGTACGGCATCATCGGTCATGACTCTCCACGTCTACCAGAAGCTATGCAGCAGCTCTCCTCCGCCATTACACACTGCCGATTCGAAGCCAGCGACTCGGCTGCCGACGAGATCGTTCTCCTTCGTATCCTCAGGTTGATGGAAGTCATGATCTCAGGTCGCGGAGGAGAGGTACTGGGCGACGAGAGCGTATGCGAGATGATGGAGACAGGCTTGAGCATGTGCTGCCAGGCGAGACTGTCAGAGCTGCTCCGACGCTCGGCAGAGATTGCCATGGTTTCCATGTGTCAGGTCATATTCCGCAGGCTGAAGACGCTGGAAATTGAATCGCCAGAGGAGCTGGATGCCATGGATGAAGAGTTGGAAGGAAAGGACGAGCAAGATGGTCTGAGAATGGACCCAACCGCAAACGGCGAGGGAGACTCTGCACAGCACAAGGTCGAGGCGCTGCAGCAGCCAATTGATTCTGAGAAGGGACATGAAGACAACGACAGTACCGCGAACCCTGCGAGTAGTACTCTAGATCTACCAGCAACCGCGGCGGATGGGCAGCCACAAGCCCCTCTCGAGATCAAGCCGTACTCATTGCCGTCCATAAGAGAGCTGTTCAGAGTATTGGTTGATCTGCTGGACCCTCACGACCGCCAACATACCGACACCATGCGCGTCATGGCCTTGCGCATCGTAGACGTTGCTCTTGAAGTCGCCGGGCCGTCGATAGCGAGCCATCCCAGTCTGGCCAATCTGGCCAAGGACACCTTGTGCAGGCACATCTTCCAGCTCGTCAGATCAGACAATATGGCCATCTTGAACGAGTCATTGCGAGTTGCTGGTACGTTGCTGGCGACATGCAGGAATGTGCTCAAGCTGCAACAAGAGCTCTACCTCTCGTATCTGGTCGCATGCCTTTTCCCACGGGTTGAGATACCCATTGAGCCGGGTATCGAACCTTCATTATACGAAGGAGTTCCAAGTGCGCCCAGTCTAATCAAGCAGCCGCCGCAACAAAAGAGCAACTCAAGCGGTCGTTCAACTCCAGTGCCTGTCAAGGATCGGCAAAAGCTGGGGCTGGAAGGAGGCGCCCGAAAGCCGGATGCTCGAGAGGCCATGGTGGAGAACTTGGGTGGCTTGGTTCGGATACCTTCCTACATGGCAGAACTTTTTGTCAACTACGACTGTGAGATTGACCGTGGAGATGTCTGCATGGACATTGTTGGACTTCTCTCCAGAAACGCGTTCCCAGACTCTGCAACATGGAGTACTGTCAATGTACCTCCACTGTGTTTGGACGCACTGCTTGGCTTCGTGCAATCCATGGCAGATCGCCTCGACGACGAGCCTGTGACTGAAGGCTATCCAAGCGTTGAGTCACTCCGCGAGCAGCGGGCGCGCAAGGCGACCATCATCCGTGGTGCCACTAAATTCAACGAAAAGCCCAAGGCTGGTATCGCCTACCTGGCACAACAGGGAATCATCCGAGACCCAGATGATCCTAAATGCATCGCCGAGTTCGTCAAAGGTACTACGAGAGTCGATAAGAAAGTATTGGGCGAGTTCATCTCGAAGAGGGGAAACGAGGCGCTCTTGAGCGAGTTCATCAACTTGTTCGACTTCAAAGGACAGCGGATAGATGAAGCGCTTCGACAGCTCCTGCACGCCTTCCGTCTCCCTGGTGAATCGGCCCTGATCGAGCGAATCCTGACAGAATTCTCTGAGACGTACTTCAACATGGTCAAGCCTGAGGGGATTGCCAACGGCGATGCCATTTATATCCTCACATACGCTGTCATTATGCTGAACACCGATCAACACAACCCCAACTTGAAGACGAAACGAATGCAGTTGGAAGATTTCACCAAGAACGTTCGAGGTGTTAACAATGGCAAGGACTTTGAACCTGAGTTCTTGCAAGGAATCTATGATTCCATCAAGAATCGCGAGATTATCCTACCCGAGGAGCACAGCGATCGAAATGCATACGACCACGCCTGGAAAGAGCTGCTAGTCAAGTGTCAGTCGACGTCCGACATCGTCATCTGCGACACCAACATCTTCGATGCGGACATGTTCGCTGCCACATGGAAGCCAATCATAGCAACCCTATCCTACGTGTTCATGTCTGCTACTGATGACGCGGTCTTTTCCCGCGTTGTGCAGGGCTTTGACCAATGCGCTCAAATCGCTGCCAAGTACGACCTTACTGAGGCTCTCGACCGTATCATCTCGTGCTTGTCGTACATCAGCACATTGGCGCCCGATGTGCCACCAAGCACATCGCTCAACACCGAGGTGCAGGCCGACAAGAAGAGCGTTATGGTCAGCGAGACTGCTGTGCGATTCGGTCGTGACGGTAGGGCGCAGCTAGCGACCGTAGTTTTGTTCCAGGTCATTAAGGGTAACGAAGCATCAATAAGAGATGGGTGGCAACATGTAAGCTTTTCGATTTTGTTGTTTATCTATACAGTGCTAACAATAGTAGCTTATTCGCATCATGGTGAACTTGTTCGTCAACTCGCTGATACCACCCTACTTCCTTTCTTTCCAGAAGACGCTCGCTCTAGCACCCATACCACTTCAGAACCCAGCACAAGTCATCGACCGTGCAGAGCGTCCAGCAGACACTGGCATCTTCTCGGCCCTGACATCATATGTGTCGAGCTTTGCCAATGACGAGCCTCCAGAGCCGTCAGACCAAGAGATTGAGTACACACTTTGTACTGTGGATACTGTCAAGGAATGTCACTTCGAAGACATCCTTGCGAACATCAGCCAGCTGCCAGTGGAGTCTCTGCGGTCACTTCTGTCATCTCTACTTGAGCATCTACCTGAAGATGGTTCACCCAGAGTCATCGTTGTGAAGCCTGAGATACCTGGCGCAAGTCCGCGAACGACCGGCCCTAGACAGAAGGGGAAAGGTCCGCTGTACGACCCAAGTCTCGTTTTTGTCCTTGAGCTGGCGACTGTATTAGCTCTGAGGGATGAAGAGACTGTCAAGGAGCTTGCAAAGGATGTAACGGATGCTTTGGCGTCTGTCATCCGAGACGCTCCCAAGCATCACTACGTGGTCATTGCACGATCGGTATACTATCTTCTGAGTCTGCTCAAAGCCAGCAATGTAAGTCTCGATGCACTCTCAAGAAAATACACTACTAATCTATCCAGGACTACGACTTCATCCGTGCGCCAGTCCTTATGCACACGTTCTCCAGCTTCAATGATGCTCTGCTACACGAGTGCGCACAACCGATTCTGAAGGGTCTGACAGACTGCTGCAAGGGTCCGAACGCTCTTCGCAGCGAACTTGCAGGATCACCAGACTTCTGGACCATTCTCAGCAGGCTTTCAGGAGTGCCCGATGCTGCTGGGGATGTATTCCAGCTCGTCGAAGACCTTACCACTTCGCCTCAACCTGGCATTACTGCTGATAACTACGAGGCTGCGATTGCGCTTCTCAATGAGTTCGCAACTGCAGCTCAAGTTGGAGCTCGAGAAGAGCAGTTGCATGATCAGGCTGCACGACGCAACAAGGGCCAGAAGCCTAAGAAGCTTGAGAGCAACGAAGTTGTCGTACGCGGGAGCACTGCTATGAGCATTGTCTTCCAACTTTCCAGCAGGGTGCCAAACTTTATCGAGCAGTCTCACCTTGAGACAACTGAAGGTAGGAACACTTCTCTCTTCGTCAAGCATCGCGACGCTAACATCTCTTCAG